GAGGCGGTGCCGCAGAGTACTTCACCACAGCACGACTCTTGACCTCGTTGTTGCCAAGGCATACGACTGCCCCCTGAACAACAAACGGCCAGCAAAGCTGATAAACTAAAACTAGAACAACAATGTATTGACTGTAACTACTAATTAAAACAAACTGACACCTAACAGGAGGCTGCTTTAGGCCTTTCACTGGTCTGTCAGAATCTGACTGTATTGCCAGTTTAGGTGAACTTGTAGATGTGTATATTAGCCTACATCCAAACTCAAGAACATTCTCGTTTTAATTACTCTCGCTTCACTTAAGCACTGAATAACTTAAAGAACCGCACTGTAGATCTAACATAACATGATGGACCTCAGAACTCAAGAGATGTGACCAAAGGTAAAGCAGTACAGCATAAAGCTTTTACTTTAGTACATGTAACTGAGTAAAAACAACTGGTTACTATTCACTTCAAAGTAAACTACAGACCTGAGACGTCAGTGTAAAGCTTAATAACACAGAGATCTCACTTTATATATGTTAAAGTGAAAACATTACACAAGCAGACTCCACTTGAACATCTAGTCTGACAGCTACAGGCCAAGGAGGCAGAAGTCAGCTTCTTTTTATTCGCCAGTTTCTTGTTCGAATTTTCCCGTTTCACCTTAAATGGGCCAAAATGTAACTGCTGAACCAAGGTGAACGGAAAATTTTGAACAGGTAGCAGGCGAATAGGAAGCCAAGTTCAACCTCGTTACAGTCCAGCCTGCCTCAGGTAACGTGACCACTTCTACAGCTAATCACAACTTATTAAGTTTCATGAACGCTGGTTAACGTTACTTGTTTCGTGTCTTCACTGGCAGCGCTGTCAGGATCCAGTTCTTCATGCGTGTGGTCTGTAGATACAGACGAGACCTTTCCGTGGTCTGGAGAGCTCATTTTCAGCAGTGCTGCAACAGCTTCAGGCAGGCAACTCTCCGAGCCATCCAGAAACTCCGATGAAGTAGCTAAGACGCTCTGGCAAGCGAAGCTACAGAAATATTCGTAAGATAAGATCCACTTAACGTCCAATCTGTCTGGCTAAACAGGTAAACAAGTGTCACCCACTTACTGTTTCTGCTGTTGCTGTGTGGCTGAGGAAGCATTAAGTCGCTAACTTAACCTACCCATCTTTGGTAGCTAAGTTACCTAGCACGCTAAGCTACAGACTGCATTTTTTCAAAACTGTCAGTTTCGTGAAACGGAAAACTAAACGTAAACAGCTGAATTAGTTTAGCCCCGTGCACACTTTCAGAAGTCGTATCGCTTCTTTTTAGAAAACCTGTCTCTCGCTGTGATAGAGCAGCTTATCAAACTCACATTTAACCAGCACAGGCGCTGAACTTACGTTACCCGGAAATACATATGACGTCGGAAAAAAGTTCTAGAAAAAAAAAAACATTTCTAGAAAATTATGCCAAACACAGGAAAAAAATGCTTGCCTTTTTTTATTTCATGCATTTCCTGTTTTTATCGTCCACTTTTTCGTAATCAATGCTGAACTGTTCAACATTTTTGAATAGTATTTACTTTGGTTAATCTTTTTTTTTAACAGTGAACCTTTAGTTATTTACATTCTAATTAAGTGTTCGTAAGAAAAGTCAAACAGTCTAATCGAACATGATTTACTACATAACCAAGCACAAAGGTGCACTTTGCATGTAAATATTTTCTATTCTATTCTCAAATAGTTAAAGGCTTGTATTCTGTTGTCATGGATACAAAGTGCCCTGCAGAGGGCAGACGTTTCATCAAAGAGATTTTTTAAAGTATTTGTCTACTCCGCACTTCATATTAATCATATTCTTTAATCTTATGAATTCTGTTTTAAGCAGGCAACATGACTAAAGGAGGCAAAAGATATGTTAATATGGAGAAAGATGGCATCTGGGTGAGGAATATTTGCTATTCTTTGTGCTGCACATTATATATTATTATAACAAACGTGAACTTAAGATGTAGACATTTTTAAGAGATGCAATGATAAAAACACAAGTCCTGTGAAAGATAAAAGGTCTTTATTCATTTATTTATTTACTGCAATTATTTTGATTATGATTATCTTTGTTTTAAGTTTGCCCATGTTGATATGGAACAGTCTGAGAAAACACGAGAAGCATGTACGAGCACAGGATTCATGCTGGCCCAAGGGGTGCACCAGCCCATGCCACTAAGAGAGAGATATCCCAAAATGAATCTTGAAAAGGTTAATAACTTTGTGACAGTTCCTTTCTTATTCAGCAGGAGTTTCCAGACAGCTGCTGTGCCACAGTGAATACATACAAAAATCTTAGACCATCTGAGAAAATGATATGTAAAGCTGTTTGTCTGGGCAGTAAGTGTTTATTTGTTAAAAATTAGAAAACATCCAGATACACATTAATACAGTACCCTAGTGTATTAACTTGGCCTTTTCCTTGAGGAAGTACAGTATTTACAGTTAACACTCAGTATCATTATATTAATAGGTTTTTTAGAAAACAGGAAATTCTTGCTACTGTATTTATGTTTACTCTTGAATGTAATGTATATTGGTTTTATAGGCAAAAATGCACTTACTGCTGAGATAAACAGCTTTAAACACTTTTCATTGCTGCCTAATGCTTTTGCACAGTATGTATGTGCAATAATTGTTAGCAGTTCTGTTAAGTGAGATGTGAATGGAAGGAATTTTTCTGGTGTTAATGAACATAGGCATTATGTAATGTTTATGATAATTAGGCTGTTCACGTCTTAAATGCAATGTTTTAATGAAATTTATTTTTCTCCTTTTTTATTTATTCCTTTTTTAGAAAGCAGCAGGAAGAAACTATCCATTTTCAGAACATGATAACCGAGCTACACTGCAGAATAAGATTGATACATATGATCATGTAAGGCTTTTGACATAGAGACTGTTGTAGAGGAATATATGTGTATTAAAAACAATGGATTAATTAACAATAATGCCTGATTGGCAAACTGGATTGGCTTTCACTTGACTGAAATATCTGTTTGTCATTATGTATGAGTATTATTATTATTATTATTATTATTATTATTATTGTATTTATTTATTTATTTTTTTGTATGTGTGTATAGGGTTTGGGTCGTAGGAAGTGTCTGGATGACCGCAGCCAGCACAACTCTCATTTCTGCCTCTGTCATGATGGCAACATGAGTGCAGTAGGGCTGGAGAGGGAGAATCATTCTGCCTATCAGACAGACTTTGTGCCCAGACAGGGCACGGGGAGTAGAGAGAACACAAACATGAGGCGCTTTCCGAGAAGCCATCTGGAAAGGTCCCGTCAGGCTGCAATGGTCCAGGCTGGGGAATGCTACATATGGTTTGGAAGGCATGATTTGGACCACCATGTGCCTCTTAATGTATTAGCAGCTTCTAACCATTCTTCGTCCTCTTAACTGATGTAATCCTGTCCCAGAAGAATACATTAAAGCAAGAATGAGCATAAATATGACACTGTTTTCCTTGCAACTGCTTTGTGCTTCCCAATTCTGATAAAAAAATATATAAACATAAAAAATATATATAAACAGCACTGGTATAGGACTGTGATGACCCTGGCACAGCCTACATGCTAGCACCACATGGCATTCTGCTCCTGGAGTACCCCATCCTACAGTTATTTGTCTTTTCTCTGCTATAAAGCACACACTCAGCAAGGACTTGTTATTTAGCTGATTAGTTGGGTCAGGTGTACTATACAAGAAAAAAACAAACAAAAAAAAAATGCAGAGCAGGAGAGCTCCAGTACTAGATTTGGAAACCACTGCCCCAAGCGGAACCAGAGAGTTATTACAGCTGGCATATCACAACAGGCACCCGGTCCAGTACAGACCTAATAGTTTCACAAGCCAGACTTCTGCCTATTGGCAGAGATTCTGGTACTTGTCACTGTAATGTGTGGCCAAGAACCACCTACCTTGTCAGAAAGATGCTGTTTGACTGACATGCCAAACCACCAATCACTGCCCGCTGTTTCAGCATGGAATGTAGAGGGAGGAGATTGGGACTGGGAGCTTGGCATCTCCCAAGAGCCACTTTGCATGGCCATACTCTCTAAGCTTCTCACCTCACTGAGCTGTAGCGGCCGCCACAAAATTAAAGTCAATGTTACACAGTTAAAAATATATAACAAGAAAATAAAGTTCAAATAAAACCAAAACAAATCCAACAGAAACCCATTAAACTTACAAAATCATATCTGGGTTATATTGGCTATGCAGCAGAGACTTTCTGTATATAATTAAAAAACCTGAACTCATTTACTTGACTTGACCGAAATGGAACCCAGTGGCATTTCATGTGGGTTCTAAAAGTGGAAAAAAGCGTTGAGCCTCATTCGTTGTCAGACCTCTGTAGTCTGTCTTTGACAGGCTGCGCTCTTTTATGCTCTGATAACAGACTTCTGAAGATTTTGATATCCACCGTCCCCTCTCCTCCTCTCGGTTGTTGAGGCTCAGCTTGCGGCCACCACGCCACCGCAGAAGTCTAAGTTATTACTCTTTTTCTAGTATTGGAGATCGGCAGTGGCAGTAAGTCACAGTGGAGGATGCTAGCTATCTAGACTGAACCTGGAAGTAACCTGAGGATCTGGCAATGGTAGAACCATTGGCCAGGATACTTAGCAGCGTTCCCTTGTAACAATAGCTTTATTTGCCTTCATTGTCGTTACATTGATAAATTGGTCCCTACCTTAAATGTGCTGGGCTAACTGAAGATTCTAGGCTGATTTCTTTTGCATATTACTAAAAGTAAAATATCCAAAGTTATTATGAAAAGTGAGTCTAGGCTTTTCGAAAATGTTCCTCTGTAATTAAACAATGTTTGCAATCCCAAAGAAATGTGTGTATGTGTGTTTGTGTTACGAGACCGCAGTATGGCGCTTATGAGCTTTGTGGCGGTAAAATGTCCCAATCTGGCAACCCGCGGAAGCACGCCGCTCTCTCTCGCCAGCTTGCTTTTTCATTGGATAGGTTTAAGCTAAGTAAGAAACAACATGGCGGTCATGCCTGAGGAACAGGGCGCGAATAGTTATTTTGTTAGAGAAATCGAGAAAAATGACGGTTCAGTCCTAAAAATGTTCCAGTGCAGCAAAGGCGACGTGGGCTGCGTAGTTTGGGACGCGGCTATCGTCCTCTCAAAATACCTGGAGACGGAGCAGTTCTGTAGTTCGCAGACATGGTCCTCTAAAAAGGTTGTGGAGCTGGGGGCAGGCACTGGAGTGGTAGGCATTATGGCAGCTTCTCTCGGGTGAGTTACAGCTGAAGACGAGTGTAAAAGGAGTGTAAAAGCAATGTAAACCCGCTTTACCCTCAATCCGAACCTTTTAGCTAGCTAGTTGCGGTGTTATCTCATAATATCCAGTAGCTCGGCACAATCTTTGTTGGTTGAGATGTAAACAAAGTCATGCAGAGTGGTTTGGGGTGAAATGCTCCGTTCTAGAGAAATGTGCTGTCAGAATTGTTCACAGCGGTGGTGATGGACTTGAAGGACACTGACGAGTTTAATCCCTCTGAAAGCTCACTCACAGAAGGTTATTACATGAAGTGGTGAAATACATGCTGCCTGATGTCTGACACATTGTTTTATGATAGTTTTGTGACTAAGTTTTGGCTTAAAACGTATTTTAATCCATTTCTGTTAATTCATTCGTGGTGGAGGGGTATATGCAGGATGTTGTAAGGCAAAACAGTCCCCAAAGAAACTTATTTTTTCAGATTTCCCCACCATGTTTACCGTAATCAACATTACATGTAAAACCTCAAAAGACGTGTAAGATCACTGAAGTTTTTGGATCGTAAATAAAATGGTTTTACTTGCGTTGTAGTCATGGTGACCCCTTGTTCCTATCACCACCACTGTAAAGAAATCTGAGTCTTAAGTTTCTCTACAATGGACCATTTCACATCAAAGTGCTCTGAATTACTCTGTTTACAACTCAGCCACTGAATTATCCTGAAATTTTGAGGAAACAGTGGAATTCCCCTGTAATGTCGGTCAGTGGTTTGTGTCATGTTTCTCATGGATTTTCATCTGCACCATCCAAGTGTCTTTTTTTATCATACTTTTATCAAAGCTACAGCCTTCTACTCATAATTCCACTATTACCCCAATGAAGATGGGCTCCCCAGAAACATAGAATCGTAAGTGTACGATTGTCAGTAACAATAAAAAGTGTGCGAAGGCTGTGTGTTTTACATGTTGACTCCTCTAGTACACATGTTCACAGTTTTGTGGTTTTCTTGAACCTAAGCCTTGTCATAAGCTAAATGTTGAATCCACCCTGAGCAGAATCAGGTATATTTAAGCAGGAAATACAAGACAGATGTGCAGTGCAGGTTGGTTACAAAACAGGATGGAAAGAGTAAGGGAACTGCTGAAACATTTTATCCTGCTTTCCATGTTTTCCACCCCCTGATCGTCCCTTCCTGATCTTCCTGATCTGGCTAACTCCAGTGTTTTGGCCCACACAGAGCAAATGTCACAGTAACAGATTTGGAGGATCTGCTGCCTCTTCTTGAACTGAACATCCGGGAAAATCAAAGCCTCATCAGCACAGGCTCAGTTACAGCCAAGGTACTAAAATGGTTTGTACTCTTCTACTAGCGCTTGATTTACATGATTTAAGAATTTCTTTGCTTAGCATGGCTGAAGAAAAGCATCTCCGATACACTGTCATTATGGTTAAGCTGTTATGTGTATTCACATCTAAAATGGTGACCCCGTAGACTTGTTTGTTTACCTGCTGTAGTACTGACATTTAAGCTTTACAAAAAGCTGTTAGCTAATGCAGCAGTACATTACATGCAAGTATCCATAATCATCAACCCTCTGGATTTCTTAAAGGGGTGAAGATGTGACCGACTTCCTCCCACATCCAGATTATATTCTAATGGCGGACTGCATCTATTATGAGCAGGTAAAGCATTGTTTTTTATATAATACTAAGTATGGACATGAAATGCTGCAGTATTTATGTAAGTTATAACCATTGATTGACTCTTAACCCGGCAGTCTGTGCAGCCACTGGTAGAGACTCTGAAGCTCCTGTCTGGACCTGAGACCTGTATCATCTGCTGCTATGAGCAGCGCACTGTTGGAGTGAATCCTGAAGTGGAGAGGAGATTTTTTGAGGTGAGTGCAAATTGCTGATGGGGTACATGTCTGAAAAAAGAAGGTGGAGTATTTAGGAATATGCATGGATAATAAAGACATGCAGAAATGTAGAAAACATTTGGGAGCTGTTAACTAAGAGTGGGTGATATGGTGAAAATATAGCAATGATACTCTCTGTATAATTTTTTCTGCTGTTAGTTAGAAATGGACAAAGTGTACCAGTAAAACTGCATGAAAACAAAGTAGACAGCAATGATTTATTTTTTCCATTCATCACTTCAAAGAGTAAACTGTTTACAAAAAAAAATCAAACAATTGGTAAAAATAAATTCACAAAATAAGATATTGGTGTAATGAGTTGGCATCTAAACATCTACTTCTTACTATGCAATTTATGCAGTGACTGTCCATTGGGAGTTGTTAACAGGCTCTATAATTGGTCTAAATCTGTTTTTTTCATGTTGCATGCAGTGGACCTGTTTTCAAGTTGTACATTTACTCAGAAAAGCGTATTGTGACGTAATAGATAATGATATTTTGCTGTTATACATTTAACATGCCATTCAATCGCTGCTTCTGCATTTTCTTTACTACCCATTTTCTATAGCTACTGCTGCAAGATTTTGAGTCCGAGAAGGTTCCAGCTGAAAGACAAGATCCCGAGTTCAACAGCCCAGACATCCACATCCTCCATCTCCGGCGCAGACCTAGTTGAATGGTTTTGTGTGTGTGTGAGACGCATCAAGTGTATGCAAAAACTGTGTGCCTGTGTGTATTTTGTCAGTGTTAAAGAGGGGTGAGTGGTTTGAGAATCATGAACTAAATGGTTCTGTGTTTTTAACCTATTGATGCTATTTTGAAATAAAGATTTCAATTGTCTTTTTTGACAAATGGCATGCGTTTCAAAAAGCCTAGTTTATACTAAAATAGTAAATGTCATATTTCTACTGCGTTGGTAGTGTGTGCTGACAAGTTGGTTTGATATGAATGATGTTAAAAATAGAGCACTGATATGAGGCTGAGCTATTTCTCCAGGCACTATGGCCTTATGCAATGCTCTTGGTTTCCACAAGTGATTTAGAGACTCTCTTTAGAAACTGACTACATTTAGAAACACTGCAGAGTTTTTCCCTCATCAGAGTATCCATTCCTTTCCTTCATTCAAAGTCATTTGGAAAATACTTGTGAAGAAAAAGTTTCCAATTCTCCTACTATAAAGAGGACCTTTATGCTTGAGGTTTGCATATTCACACATCTGTCCATCAAATGATCTTAATTTTTTTAGGATTTGCAAATATGGCACAGTAAAATGTGTATGTTTATTAAATAAATAATCAAATGGTAGATTGAGATCAGATTACATCACAGAAATCTAGGTAACTAGGTAAAGAGGTTCAGAAATTCCTACAACTGTATATATTTTTCCTGAACACTCACATATTGTGAACCTCCAGTATATGTCCATAGTGTAAAGATTCTTGACATTTTATAAAATCCTTTCATTATTGTATATTTGTTTCATTTTCATCATTGCTAATCTCACTGACGTAATGAATACGGCAGTATAATAGCCATGAATATTCCTTTGTCGTTTCATGAGATCTGTGACAAAAAGTTTTTTATGTCAATAAATCACTGTGTTTTTGTTCTCCATAGTTCTAATTACATCTTGCTTGCACTCAAAACAGAATATCCCACCTCAGTAACACTGAATTTGTGACTGGGTGGAATAATTCTGGCTGCCTGGCTGTTCACTGTTTTTAAGGTTAGAGCTTCTAACATCAGTTAACATCAGATTTCTCTGTGAACATTGAAAAAAAAAAAAAACACTTCTCTGTCTATTTTGCGTGATTGGGTTAGATGAGATTATGCTTTACAGACACTGTCAGAGGTGGAGAAACCAACAAATTAGCAATGCTGAATAAAAGCTAAATTTACCATTTTTTTTGTAAAACTGCTTCTTTCAAGACTTCAGTGATGTCCCTTATTCTTCATGGCACTGAATGTGATGCTAAGTTATTTTTATGGCTCAATTCACTAGTGTGACGGGGTGGAAAGCAAAACGTAAGACAATGGGTAAATTATTACACTTTATTTACAAACATGTTTTAATTTTTAAAATTAATCTAAACTCTTAATGTTAACACAACTTTTATTTAGTACTATCTGAGATGGCGCTACATTTACTGTCTATTTGGACATATAAAATGCCTGCATTTCAATACATAAAAAATATTTGTAAAAATCCTTTTCCATTGCAATAAAAAAGATACATAATGTTAACAATGGACTTTGAATTCAAGTTTTTAAAAACATTTATTTTTTCATTTTTGTCTCTAATGTAAGACTTTGGATATTGTAGACTCTTTTCATTGACTGACCCTCTTACCATGAGGAGAAAAATTACTTACAGAAATAAAATTACAGACACACACACACACACAGCATTTCTCAAGCCAGGTGCAGTGCTTATCTCCAACAGCAGGAGGCAGTGGTTAACCAGAACTAACACGTGGAGCCAACTCAGAAAGTCTCAATATAACAAATGGCCTGCATCAGCTCTGCATTGTGAGTGAGGGAGGAGCTGAACATTTTTTTTCAAGATTCTAGTGCTGAATTGTTATGTTACATGTTATACTCATAAATGATTTTCCTTATTTCTAGACTAAACACTTTCATCCTCAAGTGTCTCTTTAGTTCTCAAGTGACTGTCTGCGCCCACAGTTTGGAACCACAAGCAGTCAGGACGTCAAAAATTTACAGTTCTGTGTTTTGAGGCTTGTGTCTCTTTTCCTGTAGCCTAGTCAACCAGATGGTGGAGAGTGTGCTGTGTTGGTGGCCGGCGGCCGTTGGAAGGGGAATTCTGCTCTGAACGCTGGGGAGATTAGTGCAGAGATTAGGGCTCTTTCACAGGCCCAAAGCATGAAGCATGGCCCACACTCCCAGAGGCTAACACAGGCCCCTCAACGCCTTTCATTAGAGTGGCTGTTTACACAGCAGCACAGCTACATCTGCCACATGCACCAATCTGCAACAAAGCTCCCGGTGGATTTCACTTCCTTCCCATGTATGTTCACAGGTGAGGTCAAACTGTGTGAAACTCATCTATTTATGACTCACTTTTATGTTGAAATCAACAATCCCATCTTGTTTTCCTTTTACACGTATCCACTAGATTTATACTGGATAAACCATGCATGACACATACTGGCATCTGTCAGTAAGCCATCTGCTAAACTTTTTCCACATCATTGCTGTTAGAAGCGCTAAATGTCATACTCTCACAGAAAGCTGACAGGGTCTTGATGTCTTCCATACTTGACTACAATCTGGAAAGTTCCAACCTCAAATGCCCTGTAAAGTTTTCACAGCTTCTTCTAATGAACTTCAACATAAATAAACACATTAAGATGCTTTCTTTTGTCTTTGAACAGTCTGTGAAGCTCTTTGAGCTGCATTATATGTGTGCAGGTTTATTTACTGATCATTCTACCAAATTGGTTCAAAGTCAGAGTTCAAAACATTTTTCAGACATTTATCTGACTTGAACTTTAGACTAAAATACTTTTGTTTCGAGTGACTTTATACCTTAATTATGTTTTATTTTAATTATGTTAATTTTAAACGATTGAATATTCCATTTTATCACTACCAAAACAATCAAAACTTTACCAAATGTTTCGGTAGTGACTGTTTCGATAGTGACAATTTTGAGCTAATTTTGAGCAAAACTGAAAAATGCTAGCCAGCATTTGACTAGCAAACACAACAAGTGCAGGAAATATGTGTTTATGCAGGCGTGTGGCTAAAATAAGTCTCTGCCTATGGATTAAAACCCTTTGTGTTTAAGTAGTGACATGAAAATGTGGGACAGCATTTTATGAATTTTTGGAAAGTTTTTTTTATCTAAAAATTACACTCATAACGTATCTAAGTCTTTCAACTTCATTTTAGAAGAAACATAAGAGACATAAAACATAAAAAAAGTATTATTTTTACAAGTGTAAATGTAAATTAAGGTTTGGGACAACCACCTCCAATAGAAAGTACTATATAAAAGATGGTTTGTATGTATTTAGCTTATTACTTTTCACTTTTAATAACAAATCATAGTTTTGTCATTTTATGTATAATAACAACTTATAAAATGTATATATACTCTAAACAAGAAAACAAAAAGTACTTTCACATATTGTCACTGTCCAATGAAAACCATGTATCTCCATTTTTGTCAAATTTTAGTTTTCTACATCATTTCAACGCACCAGCTGTCCTTTACGTTGTGTTAAAATTTCATGATGAATGGGCCAATAGAAATGCTCTAAAATCACTTGGAATAAATCCTCTTTACATTAACTTACATTGAAAGGCAAGAGTGTTTTTGACTTCTCCTGTAAAGTCACTATTTTGGAGATACTTGTTTTTTCTTTGGACAGTGACGATATATTTAATATTGTTAGTATTTTGGCAACAACAAGAAGTTACTCAAGGAAAAACAGTATACTCTAATCATTTGTTTGTGGGATTTTCATTATGAATATTAATTTTATTATAACTTTAGTTATTTTAGAATTGTCTCGGTTCATCCTTTTGGACACATCTACATTTTTATTGCCTTTTTATTTTATGAACTTGTGAAGTTGCACAGTAGTAGCATATTACAGTCCTTTTATAAATGTATCTGCCACCATGCTGGTTTTATATTACTAAAAACACTGATACCAAACCTTCGAACAGCAGTGCATAGATTCTATATGTAGCAGTGTTTCAAAGGAAGAATGAGTGTGCATTATGTGACGAGTCAGCACCTTCTTGCCATACATCAGCCACTCTCTGTGGCCCGGAGAGCAGGGTGAGGTCATTCAGGCTGCTGGGGTTAAACCCCATTAACAGCCCAAGCAGAGCCATCTGTGCTGAGTGACTGCAGTGTAGACTGCTGCTCACACTGTCTTGTGTGCTGTCTGTCACATCATGCATGTTACCAGATTAATCAGATTAATGACTCTCCTGTATATACTCCTGTGATACATATACATATGACTTTCCTCATATGTATATGTATCACACACATATGCAATACAGGAGACTCATTAATCTGATTAATCTGGTAACATTTTCTACTCCCACCCACCCACACTTAATGTGGTTCAGTAGAACTGCAGCCCTAGCAATAGATAAGATTAATTGCTATTTAGATCATTGCTATAAATAGTTATAACATCACCTGAATACCACTCCCCACATACACATCATCCATATAGCAAGAAATGTGGGCAACCTCGTTTCTCTTGGAAGAAAAAAAAAAAACACATTAAGGAACATTTTTTGGCCATGGAGGGTGTCTTTAAAGCCACTCCTCAGTAGTTGAGGAATAGAAACGTAATAAGTAACTTGGGCCACACAGGTGCATAAATCCTACATGAAGGCACCTCAAAGGCTACAATGTTGGCGTGCTGTTTCCTCACTCTGCAAATAAAAGCACAGCTGAAGATTTTCCCATGCTCAGAATGTTCCTGTGCTCACCAGAGAGAGGAAACAAAGCCTGAAAAAAGCTATGTGGGAGAAACCATAATGCATTTCACAAACTGCAGAGAAGCGGTTCAAGCGCTTGCCAGGTGAAATGCTGCGGAAACAGACAAGCCTGGTGCGCTTCTTTCACGAAATACATCGGAAAGGCATCATCCATTCATGGATCTGAGCAGGCCATTGTAATCCTTAAAAAGCCTTTATTCTGCAGTTGAACAGTAGTGCCTTATGGTAAAGTGAGCATTTGCGGAAAGTAATGTATCGCTTGCTGGGCTGTGAATTCACACTATCCACTGGGCGCACACTCTTGACTTGAGATTAGCAGGAACAAATCATACTACTAGATGGTATCTCGATTTGGACCATTTAATTCCCGTGCAAGCTGTGGGTGTGCAGATGTCCTGTCCAGACGTGAATCATTGTGCCTATATCACATAGCTTTTCCTCATGAAGATGTGTTTGTCCATTAACTTAATCTCCTGAGCAAACCACAGCCTATTAATAAATGGTATCAGTCCATTACTTCCAGCTCAACACCAAACAGCAGGGCATTTGTTACCATATACAATATGTAGAATATATTTTCTCTACTGTATTCTCCCTCTGCTGTGGTGAGGATATATTAGCCTAATTAGTTTGACACAGGGCTGGTACTGAGAGCCTCTAGGGATATATGAAAGCAGTGTGTGTGTGAGAGAGATATTTACTTTTTTTAATTTTCTGGTTCTGCTTTAACAGCTAAATCCTCCTGTTTGTCAGTCGACCACTGTAACACTAGAGAAAATATTTGCATGCGGCTCTCTGTTAATCAGGATCGGTGGGTAACCAACAGGTGGCAGTGTATGGGGAAAAGTAAAGCACAGAAGTAGACAGAAGTAGACACAGTAGGTTTACTTTATCACGTGAGCATATGTACATTTAAGTATGTAATGAGATGTTTCCTGATTGCCATTAAAGAGAGAGGAACTTACAAAGGCCAGGCTGCTCAGGAGGCCTTCACTACAGCTCTGGGCCCAGTTTAACAAAAGTAACAGTAGATCATTTTAACTGGTAGAGAGAGGGTTCAGTGTGCTGCTCGCTTTACCATTTAAAAATCGTCTTTTACGATTTCAGGAAACCCCGCCCTGAT